TTTAAGTAAGAAAAAGCAAAAATTTTCTCTATTATTTCTAGAAGAGATATTAAAATTTTGATAATTAAATGTGTCTAATTGAATTATATTTTGTTCTTGTCGCCAGTTAATAATTATTTGTTCAAATTCGCATGATTGATAAGAGTTGTCTATATCATTAAAACTATAAAATCAAATTAATAAGCAAGTGGAAAATAAGAATAAGAGGCCTTCAATTATTATTTACCAGCAGAATGAGGCTATTCTCTGCGGAACCTTTTCATCATCCATTAATTGATTTATATCTTTTAAATCATAAACCGAGAGGTGCATTAAACATTTAGAATTAATTTCTGGTAGCCCAAGAATACATGTATTAAATTCTCTATATTTTGAAAATTCTATTCCATGCAGTTTATCTGCTTTAGAAACAGGAGGTTCACCATTTTTAAGTATCACAGGGTATTTTGTTCGGTTAAAGTCAAAATTTGTAGGCTGACCAACAATGATCCATCCAAATTTTATTGGATTTTTATATTTTTTGTATGGCAGCTTTTTAGAATGAACTATGATCAATGGAGTATGCTCATTCATATAACTTATTCGTAAAGAAAAAATGTCCCTATCTTTCTGATCCAAAATCGAGGCAAATATATAACAATTATTAATCTTTGTAATTTGATCCAAGTCCATAAACTGTGGGGCTAGTGAATGGACGTATGTTGCATTTTTTGAAAAATCCCAATTCAATGGAATGTCATTGATACCCGCTACAAATATAATTAAATTAATTGATAGTAATATTATGATGGTAAGATTATTAATAAATCATATTAATAGTATACAATGTTACCTTTTAGAATGCGGTGACCTAAAACGTTTAAAATTTTTTGTTGTAAACTATAATCCAATATATCAAATATTGAATAAGTTTCATCATATTCAATAATATCCCAAGTATCGCGATTGTTGAGAGAATTAACCCAAAGTTTGGAAGAGGAACCATTAACATATTCTTTATTTCCACCGATGATCCGAACTTCATAGTCTTGATTGCCATCAATATCTGCTATCAGAATAAATATTAACTCAAAAATATTCGGCAAAAATGAATTTATGTTCAATTAGTTGTAATTTACCTCTAATTTCCTCAATCATGGCACCTCCAAACACAAGACGGCATGCGTAAAAATTGCCAAATTCGTTTAATAGCTTACGAAGCTGAGTCTCTTTATCATCACTTTCTAACGCATTCTCAACCTCCATAATAAAATTATTTGTAGGAGTAAGATTTGATTTTGAAATCTTAAGTTCTTCCCTTTCAAATTTTCTATATGAACATTCTATGGTTGTTACATCATTAAGCGTTTGGCGAGACGTAGCTCCAAGAAAAACAGAAAGTGAGGGGAAAAGATTTGATATCTTTTTACAGGATATAAAGTTTCGTTTGAATAAAGCTTCTAATTCGCTGTCACATTTTTCTACATTTTCTATTTCATTATTTATTTCAGTTATTAATTCAACTTTATCAACGTCAATTGTAAATGCTCGTTTGGAAGCTTTTTTAATAACAAAATTGTTATCGAATGTATATCCAAAATTTAAAGTTAAATCAAAACAAGATGATTGTTTATTATTTAATGAGATGTATGTATTATCTAATCGCGTAAATTCAGAAGATCTAGGTATATCTATATTTGCATCGTCGTTATTAATGCTTTTTTTCAAAACATGTCGGTTCTGTACCGTGAGCATGTCTTGAATTTTATCAAAGTTTTTTTCTTTAGGCGGAATGTATTTATGCTTTTCATTATTGTTATTATTACTTGTATATCCATTACTTTTCATTTTTTCCGAAGTAAAATGTTATAATAATGCATATCCGATTTTTAAGCGGAGTTTTCTATTAATATTTTGTCTTAAAAGAAGGTGCATTGTTATATTTATGTAAAGAGAAATAAAAGTTCGAATTTTCTGGTAAGGGTATATAATCCAAATATAGTAATGTTATGGCACATGGTGACACATGTTCAGCTTTTAACACATTGCTCATAAGTATTGTGTGATCAAAAGTTAATAAACAAAGTAATTTGGTACTTTTCTGAAACAAAGTATTTAGGACTTGTAAATAAAGCGTTGAAATGTTATTATAACCTAAAACAAACTGCGGTTAAAGACGCAGTAAGGACAATTTTTAATACATAATCATTACTTATGTCAGTTTAAACCAAAATTTATTTCCCATGAACTGTCATTTCACACACGATTATTGCAATTATCTTTTAACTGTGCGTATAACACTGTAAAAAGATAATGTCTTTCATTTATAACGAAGCAGGTGCAAACCTTAATGTAGATGAAATATCATCTTTAATGAGCAATGATATTTATGAAATTAAACAAACTTGTCTAACAGCTTGCTATAATAAATCGATCCGTAGTGCCTTTATTGAGTTAGTAATAATTTCAACAGAACCTATTATAAGTTTACTACAATATCAAGAGGACAGTAAAAAAAATGGCAGGAGTTTCGATTTATAGGATTAAAATTAATTTTGAATTGATGTTCAAATTTGTATATTGACTTCATTCCGCGGTCG